TGCTCTATTCGCAAGAAGCTATTGTACTGCTACCCGTTACCCTCCGATTACCAGAAAAGTCATTGTTCAATATCGCAACTTAATAGCTATGGACCTAATTGCCCATGCATAATTTCATAAATCTACAGACACACAGTTGAAAAACTAATACGCTCTTTCAGTTTCACACTTAACTGTCATAAACCATTTCGCGAGCTATATCAGCTCAACTCCACATCGAAACAAAACATACAATAATAAAAAAGCAATGATGTGCAACTAGGACGCAAGGCCTAACACAAAGTTCTCACGCGCTCAACATGAATTTTGATTTTCACCGGCTCCTAGGCATGGATTTCGATATCATCGATCACAGTTTCGTGTTTCCCGTACACTATTGAGTTGAAAGCACGTTTTCATAATACCGGACAAACCATAGAACCCATATGGTACTTCCTTCTCATCAGGAATCTCCGATTTTGTCCGGCTCTCAGGCATAGATTTCGATGTCACCGATCACAGTTTCGTGTTTCCCGTACACTATTGAGTTGAAAACACGTTTTCATAATACCGGACAAAATCAAGAACCATAGAACTCATATGGTACTCCTTCTCATCAGGAATCTCCGATTTTGTCCGGCTCTCAGGCATAGATTTCGATGTCATCGATCACAGTTTCGTGTTTCCCGTACACTATTGAGTTGAAAACACGTTTTCATAATACCGGACAAAATCAAGAACCATAGAACTCATATGGTACTCCTTCTCATCAGGAATCTCCGATTTTGTCCGGCTCTCAGGCATAGATTTCGATGTCATCGATCACTGTTGGGAGTCTCGGGAATCGCAAGCAGAATAAATGTGTGGCATTTGTTGGTTCAGTTTGCATGCCCTCTTTAGAAGTCTTCTGATATCAAGCGATAGAAACAAAGATAGGGTACAGACTAGCTGTATTTGCGGATGATTTGGCACAGTCTGGCATAATCTGATATAAATATGTATAAAATTATAGGTAAAAAGCGTGTGCATATCTTTTTTCTAATTCATACAAGAAAGAAAAAAATAAGTCTTATATCTATATATTATATCAACGAGAGAGTGTAGACGATGAAACTATGACGATGACAGTATGTACACAAACCGCCGTTAGTTCAATTAATGAAAAAACAATATGAAACTATCGTAGTCACATAACAGAAAGAATATATATAGGTGTATATTCTTTCCTGTACCATACGTGACCTAATTAATTTGTATATTTAACCGCCATCATTTGATGTTACGAAATGATTTTAATCAAAATCTATTATTAAACGAAGAATACCACATCAGATTAGGTCGATCAAGAGATGTATGATTTTCAGCGTTTTTCCGTTGTAAATGACCAGTATAACCTTCTGCTTTCCATACAATACCATCTCAAACTAGCAAACACTTATAAAAATGTACTTATTTCACCTCATCTTCTCACTACACCAACGAGTAGAATGTGGGTATGGGTTCTCTCTAACTAGAATGGGTCACAGAATAATCAGATATAACAATACCAAATTAGGTCGATTTCTTTTATATTAACTCTAAACTGAAATTAGTTTCCCTAGTGGAAGTTCTTGAAGCCAAGAAAGCAAGATCTTGGGACATTTCTTGGCCAAGAAATAATTCTTGGGCTTTCTTGTGCATTTCTTGGGGCAAGAAAAGTTTTTCTTAGCCAAGAAATAATTCTTGGGATTTCTTGGGGCAAGAAAACTATGCTGTTGCAAGAAAAATCTATTCTGGCAAGAAAGGTATTTCTTGTAGCGAAAATATCGTACGAAGTTGGTACCAGCAGATAAAATGTGCGAAATTTAATTTCTGACATTTTTGGTTCCGGCACCAACTTTGCCAAATGTTTCCTTCCGGGTAAAAAGTGCTAATTATCAAAATTAGCGTTTTTCTCGGTAACTAACGCCTTTCCCAGAAAACTATAGGAGAATCGGTGGTGTTCTATTTTGTTTAGAATTTGGTTCTGTGCATTTTTTTGTTATGTGCGAAAGTCCACGATGTCTTACTGCTGAGAAAAACAGTAATTACTTTTACTCGCTAACTATGAGTTTTTGCAGAGCTCTATGGGTTCTATTCGATGCAGAATCTAATTTGAAAATTATTTGTTCCAGCCATAAATCTCTCGGATGCTTGCTTGATGAGATACATCCTAGTAGACATCTAGCGTATATCGCATCTTCTTCTTTTATTTCATCTTCTTGATCTATTTAGTCATCGATATAGCGAAAATTCATTTTTCTACACGTGGACAACCGTTTAGGAATGAATTTGAAATATATCGATGACTAAATAGATCAAGAAGATGAAATAAAAGAAGAAGGTGCGATATACGCTAGATGCCTAATTATTTATTTTTAGATGTTTGAGATTTTGCCTCATATTCAGACTGGTGAAAGAGAAGAAGATACCGAGGAAGAATGGCCGAGTGGTATAAGGCGTGGAACTCTGAATATTATAAGCTAGACTATCTCACTACATCGCGAGTTCGAATCTCGATCCTGGCACTTCAATTTTTTGCTTTTTTCTTGCCAACAAGGCAAGAAGTACATTTCTTGTAGGCAAGAAATACATTTCTTGTAGGCAAGAAATACATTTCTTGTAGGCAAGAAATACATTTCTTGTAGGCAAGAAATACATTTCTTGAGTAAGATGATAAAAAGGTTGTTTCTTGCACAAGAAATGACAAGATCTTGGGACATTCTTGCCCCAAGATCTTGCCATTTCTTGGGCCCAAGAACTTTCGCTAGGGTTCTGATTTGCAATTTCTGTGGGTCTAAGTCAATGTTGACTTTGCTGGTTTATGTTAATATAGACACTTTCGCACTCACACTCAGGCTACCACCCTCACTGCAAGCACCATCTCTGTCCCCGTAAGCAATGGCTTAAGTCGACATAGACCACGAGTGCTACCAGGGGTGGGAGAGCGCCGGAGTGAGTGTGAGTTTGCGACTGCTGGTGCAACTCGACATGAACCATTTGGTTTAAGTCGACTTAAACCAAAGAGTGAAAGGACCAACCATTGTTTCGACAGAACTTTCTCCTTGGTCTATGTCGACATGGCCTAATGGTCTATGTTGACTTAAACCAGAGAGAAAATTGTTTGAAAATATATTTAATTTATTCAAGAAAAATTATAATTTAGTTTATGTTGATATGACCTGATGACTGATATTAAAAGAACTTTCTCTGGTTTATGTTGACCTAAAGCAACTTTCGACAGATGTCGCTGCACCACAGCGAACCTGAACAGCCTCTCCAGCGGTTTCTGATTGGTGCATAGTTTACCATTTGTATTACATAGATTCAGACCGGTAGTGTCCTTAAAGGGTAAAAGTTCCGAAATTCATCCAGTTCAGTGTTCTCTTTGCACAATGGCCAGTAATCGAAGCACGTTCATTACTGGAACTACTTTCTAACTAGCATAATGGTTTTCGTTTCAGATTTACATATTTGCTTCTAGGTTATTATTATTTAAACGTTTTGTGCATTCCACCAGCTTTCTGTTTTCTTTCCAATGTTTTTGGTGTTTTTTAGGCTTGTTTGATTTTAACAGCTAATTTCTCGTTAGTTTGTGTTGGTTTTCTACATTTTGTAGTGTATTTTGATTTTGTGGTTTGCCTCTTAATTGTGTGATAGATTGATGCTGATGATGCTTCTTTAGTTGTTCCTGGCTTTTCTGATTTTTCTCATGTCCAAACTTGTATAAACTGTATCAAATTGGTTTTCGTCTAATAGAATATCTGTAAATGTATCTCAATATTCCTGGATGCTTCGACCTCTGATTGTTTACTTTCTCTTTGTTTTACCTCTCCAACCATCTACAGCGAGTACGCGTGCATGATTCTATCTCTTCTCTCCCTCTCCTTGTCGCTTCTGCCGTTCCTCAAGGCAATGTGCTTGGGCTGCCTTATATTATATACACATTTAAAGAGGTCGAGCATTTGCGAAACCTCTTATACTTTCAGATACAGCTGGCTTGTTTGTTTGTCTATTCTCTTGTACTCTTCTCCTCATCTCCCAAAAGAGATTATTATTTTAATTTATTATTTATTAATTTTGTTAACTAACGTTTATTGCAAAAAAGAGCGCAACACGAGCTCTTCAGTATTTGACTCGCTGAAGAATTATATTTGTCTAATCAAAAAAGGTAGATTAAGATAGTTATGGCTCAATCGTCGAAACGGAAAAAGAACTTGAAGGATTCAGCTGATGCCCCACTCGCGGATCATCAATATCTTTGCTCTTGCAACAATCCGGTGAATGATAATGATAATGCGTTAGCATGTGACGGCTGCGAAAGATGGTATCATATTGATTGTTTAAAAATATCTCTTGAAATTTATCAAGCGTTTGGGATCTTAGCTGAAGCTAAAGTTCATACTAATTGGCTCTGTCCTGCATGTGTTGCTAATCCATGTGTTGAAAAAGTTCCGACTCGTTGTTTGCAAATGCTATCATCACGTGTCGACAAAATGGAACATAGTTTAAAAGACATTAAACAACAACTTGAACTAGCAACGGAAAATCTTGAGCGTAAAAAGAGAAAAAGAAATATAATCGTAAAGAATCTTTATCCGGTTGATAATGTTAGTGATCGTGATCTATTCGGAAAATTCATACAAGACCAACTCGGTATTACCATTCATCCATCTAATATTGATTCTGTTTGGCGTTTTAAGACAGGATCCGTTGTCAATAACAATCGTGCACCAATACTTGGTGTTAGTTTAAACGACTTTTCGTTACGTTCCTCTATTTTGTTCAATGCATCTAAGCTCATGAACTCATCTGATAATAATGTGAAGTCCGTTTATATAAGTAAGCATTTAACATTAATCCAATCTCAGATTGCTTACGAACGTCGTCTACAACAACGTAACCGTTCGCAAACACAAGACCAACAACAAGAGTCATTGTTACCTACTTCCAAAACACCCTCTACTCCATCGTCTATACCCAAAGCAGTTTCTTATCGATCGTACTCTAATCCACCCATCATTCGTCGATCAATTCGCTTATCGGGTAATAAACAAACAATTATTAATATTAATCATCAACAGTCGAGTGGCAATCAACAATCGAGTGGCGTCCCGATCGAGTGATATCACGTGATTCAAGCCAATATTAATTCATCATTATCTCATAACCTTCGCATGTATTCTCACAACGTACAAAGTCTGGTTAAATACTTTAGTCTCATTCGTGACGAAACTACTATTTCTTTCAGAGACTTTGACATTATCGCGTTTCAAGAGACGAACCTGAATACTGACATTAGTGATAATGAATTATCTCTTAGTGGTTACTCATGATCTGGTTGGACATGATGGTTAGACATGATCTTAATCGACGTGGTGGTGGTATAGTCTCCTACATCTCTTCCTCCTTTCAGTTTTCTGTACTTGAATTCTCTAAAGACATCGAAGCGTTTGTTATCCATGTTCACTCCTCCTCTGTTGAGTTTTTGCTGTGCAATGCCTATCGATCTCAAACTGTACCCGTCAATTTTTTTGTTGAAGTGTTGGACTCCCTAGTCTGTAAATATTTGTTTGTTTCATCTTCTGTCGACTTATGCTCTGACTTAAACTTAAACTATCTTGATCCCAGTGATATGTACAAAGTCAGTTCTCTCTCTAACTCTTTTTTGTGTTCTATTGTTAACTTTTCTGTGACAACTATCCATCATACGTTTATAGATTATATTTTCTTCCCATCTTCTTGGTATTGTTCATCTTTTTTCACTCTACCGCCTGTTGGTCGCTCACCTCATTTCTCTCTGTGTGCTACTTTTGACATACCCGTCCATTCCTTGCCTAAACGTATATCCTTTCGTGACAATTTTACAAAAGCCCAGTGGGCAGAACTACGTCGTTGTCTGTCTCTCATGCCATCTGGTCTTTATACGGCCGCTGATGCTGATTCTGCTGTCCATATTTGGACGGAGTATGTAAATGATGCCATACGGAGTTATGTTCCACTGGTGCCAGTTCACTCTTCTTCTTCTCTTTTCGCTTCTTCTCCAAAACTTGCACGTCTTATCTTTACTCGTAACCGATGTTTTCGGAAACTAAAACGTCGTTACTCTCC